AGCTCTTTAGCTGGGTAAAGCCGCTCTTGGTAACACTCTGTTGCCAAGAGAGGCTTTACAAACAAGGGAACCGGAAGGGGTGTCTTCGTCACCAGCACTCCGATTGCCCAGTAAGTGCCAGCAACGACAGAGCCCCTGACAGGGTGCAAGGCGGCAGGGGCAGCTTCATTCATGCATTGTTCGAGCGGGTTATTGATCGTCGTATACGGGATCAAAAGTAAGTCCTCCCGCTCGAGGCCTGCCTCCCAACCTGGCATCCCAATAGAAGATATGCCATTCTCGACTAGAGAATCTTGAATCTCGATATACCTCCATCGCATAGGTATCCCAGCGTGGGTGGGGATCGGAACCTAACATCCATGGATTGCCGCCAAGAGCAGCTTACCATCTAGCTGGGTATCATCATGATCTCGTCTGGCGGGTTCAAAGGCTTCCATAATCCAGAGTTCGTGGTTACTTGCACGGCACCGTGCACTCCACCATGTTCGAAAGGTCATGATATGCGCTCAACGCTACTAACGCAATGCAGCTCACCCCGTCATGTTCCGAATCACTTGCTCCACCATGTTACAGAGCGCACGATCACAGTCGCTAGCGCGATATAGTGATCTACCATATTCCCAAGTACAAGGTGCTCCACCATGTTACAAGGTACACGGTGACCCCTTTGAGATCCGAGCACACTTCTGCCTGTGCATACTCGTGCGCTCTATACATCTTGAGATAGCATCTTCGAATTGGGACGAGTACGCAAGACCACAGGTAGGGGGAGTGGGTAGAGTCAGAACTCCAGCCTTGCATCTCAATTTCTGGCTTCATCCTGATAGTTACAGGACCCAAGTGGCATTAAGGGAGCAGGTCCTAGTCTTCGTACAGACTTGCATCGACGTTTCTCGTGCGGCTCATGCATTGAGCTACATGGCTTGCGCTGTGACCGGCATATCTACAGCGCCACCGTGACCACACTTTGAAACTCTCGGTCTGATTCGAGTCGGTACTGCAGCGCCGTAAGGCGACCTTGCGAAAGTAGCCGCTCTTGGCAACACCTTGTTGCCAAGAGCAGTATATAGCTTTGATAGTCGGAGGGAGCATAACCGCGCCTCCGAAGCAGCACATGTACGAATATACAGGGGCTACCGACATGGCGCTCTCGCGTGTCTAGATTTGGCATTTCATCTAGCTAAGTCGACGTGCTTTCTTTTGCGTAAACCTTATGGTTGCATGGCTCCCACGACTTATATTCTTAGGCGCTCTGTAGCCGGCATATGCGGCTTGTTTATGTTTTCGGTTGAGCGCATGAACACTTGCTGGTCGACTAGGTATCTCACGTCGGTATGGTGTGGGTAGAAGGTGAAACACTGCTACACTGCGACTCCTTTCACCCGCGCCTGAGACTTTTAGAGACATACATTTGCTAGAGCTGGCGAAGACTCCGCTAGCTCACGTTTTCTGCAAACGTGGATATCTCACTCCTTCTCGAGTCGCGAGACTCTGCGTCTTAGCCTGCTGCCAATAAGCATACCACCT